GCTAAATTTATCTTTTTTTTTTTCTCTGGTCTTAAAACAAAATGAACAAGCCATTGGCTTCAAGTCTGAGCTGGAAGTCTGCTGTTGCCTGTTTTGAACTCTTCTCCTCCAGCTGATTGTGGCAGAACAGCGTTTATATACAGTCACCGGAAAATAGAAAGTCCAGACTCATTTATTTACCAGGACATGATAAAATGATCTGGTCCTGGACAGATTCTAAAATTAATTTAAAAAATGATAAAAAACCAAAACAGATGCCATCATATTTATCAAAACATAAAGACAAAATGGAAAGGATGTGAAATAACTTAAATAAATCATTTTCTATATAACATTATCAGTCTCTTATGATGTTGGGAAGAATTTTTGGCCCACTCTTCTTTGCATCATTGCTTTAGCTCCATTCTGTTGTAGATTTGCGGCTGTGTTTGAGGCTCATTGTCCTGTTCAATAACCAAATATTAACCAAGCTTTAGTTCCACATGTGTTAAACTCAAGGCCCAAGGGCCAAATCAGCCCTAGTCAACATCTTATCTGGCCCTCAAATTGATATTTTAAATGTAAAACATTTTTATCGCCTCTCATTTTGTTTAAAAACCTAGCATACTTCATTAAGAGCAGACTAAAATCTTTGAAGCCAAGAAAATTGTATTTGAGTTTTTCAGCTGTCTTTGATTTTCATGTGTAAAGCAACAGAAATGAATCTGCAACCGAGAAAACATGTCAGGTTTCTGATTTAATTAAATGTATTGACTGAAACTGGTTTGAACTAAGTTTTTAATTTTGGCCCCATTTTGTAACTGAGTTTGAGAACCCTATGTTAGACAGATGACCTCACATAATACTCCAGTCTACAGAAGAGTTCATGTTTGACTCGATGACGACAAGGAGTTCAGATTCTGTAGCACCAAAATGAGCCCAAATCATCACCCCTCCATCTCCGTGTTTAACAGCTGGTATGACGTGTTTATGCTGCCATGCTCGGTTGGTTTTTCTCCAAATGTGGCACTGTGCATTATGGGTAACATTTCTACTTTGGTCTCATCTGTCCTAAATATATTGTTGAAGACGTCTTGTGGTTTAACTAAATGTAAATTTACAAGCCCAGTAAGTCGTGCTGTGATGTTTTTTTTATTATCTTACCATAAAATTACTTTGGTAAAAGTTAAAGTCTCCTTTAAAATTATTACTTAAGTAAAAGTCTTAAAGTATCTGACATTTAATGTACTTAAGTATCAAAAGTAAATTTCTCTTCTAAAATGTACTTAAAGTAAGAGTATTAAGTAAAAGTAAATGGTTAGAATTTCCAAAACAACATTTATTGGGTGCAATATCCAGTAAAAAAAAAAAAAAAAAACTTGGAAAGTTTGAACTGAACAATGAAAGATTGATCTTTGAAAAGTCTGATTCTAATGAAGTATGTTCATTCAACCTTTATTAACAAAGCTGTTAGAAAGTTCACATTGTTGTGTAGTTGGCTTGTTTACTGAGCTAGGCTCTGTTTGGTTATGGCTTGCTTCTTTTTGACTAATTAATAATATAGGATATATTATAGGATAATATAATAGCATAGGAACTAATAGTTACTTTGCTCTTGAAGCAGTTCATGTCCTGCAGAACACCAAACTTCTCCTTTTTAGCAACTACCATCATTTTCACACCTATCAGGAATTTACAGTGGCTCCACTGTGAGTCAACAAAGACCTATTATAATGACTGATATCTGTATATACATCTCTCTTGTTCACAGCGGGAGCTGCAGTTTTCACACAAGCGGTGGGGGAGAAGCTGGGTTTGTGATTGAGAGTGAGAAAGAAGTGGCCGCATGAAGTCACAGACTGGGAGAACAAACTGGCATTGCCCAATCAGATTTCTTCAAATTTTAAATTGTAGTAACTAGTAACTAAGATGGTTAAGGGAAATGTATTGAAGTAAAAGTACACATTTTGTTGAGGAAATGTAGTGAAGTAAAAGTGAAAGTCGCTAGAAATGTAAATAACGAAGTAAAGTAAAAATATGTCAAAATTCTACTTAAGTACAGTAACAAAGTGTTTCTACTTTGTTACATTACAACACTGCCTGAAACCTGGAAAGGAAAACAAGAGAAGAAAATGGATTTGTTTTCTTCTTTTAACCCAAGAGGTAATCCTAACCCAACACAAGCCATACTCATTTAATTTGTCCTGTCATGAACTTTAACCTTTACTCCACTAACTGAGGTCCATTGATTCTGAGATGGAGCTCATGGGGTTGTTGCAATTTCTCTGACCTTGTGGTGAATTTGCTGAAACGTTCACGCCAGGGAAGACTGGCAGTTGTTCTAAATATTTTCCACTTGTGAATAATCTTTATGTCTGTAGAATGGTGGACTCTAAAATGTTTAGAATTTACCTTTAGCACTTTACAGATTGAAGGGTGGTAACATTTACTTCACTAAGGTAAGTTCTGATGTCTTTCTTCGTTGGCATTGTGTTAACACACACCTGCATGCTCCAGAGCAGAAAACTGATAAACCTACTGCTTTTATAGATGTAATTAGTACTCACTGATGATCAGGCAATCAAGTTTATTTTATTAACTGAACCAGCCTGCTATTTTCTTAAAGGGATCTCCGACTACTTACTATAAGTTGTTGTTTTTAACACAAGAAAACTCCTAATAACTAAAAAAATGATGTACGTTTTTTACATTTTTCACCTAAGGACATCACCATTATTGTACTGGCGCAATGCATTCTGGGGCGATGACATACATTGACTGTAGTCGAACACAAGGAGTCAAGGCTTAAAAAATATAACGTGACAATAAAGTCATATTTTGTATTAGCTCTTATGCACAATATATTGGTCAAAACAACGTCAACAACTTGTGATATTAAATGTATTGTATTTTGAGCCAACACC